CATGAATCGCCACGACGACTCCGAAAAAATCAATTTCGCATGCACCTATTATGAAAAAATATAGAAAGATCAGTAAGAACCATTTATACATGATTGATAGATTAAAAAAGAGAGGAGTTGGGCCGCCATCAAAAAGAAGATGACTTGACTTGCCCGCTCAGTGATGGTTCTAACTTAATTCACACTTGTCCAAAATGTTTGAATAAACTCATCAACTAAACCAGAAGTACCAGATTACGCAATCATGCCTTTGCTTGAGTGGTTAAACATTAATAACCCTAGAGTGAGAGGTTAGTTGGTATTGTAAGATAACTTACATGCCTGCAATCTTGCATTTCATTATCTCAATGATACTTGCTTATGGTCAGAGTTTTTTCTTGGGTCATTAAGCTTTGATCAGCAGATCCTTTTTTTGCACATTCTGATTTAGGACAGGTATTGCGAACACATACAGTATGAAAGATAATTCGCCAAAATGTCTTAGATCTATCTATGCCTATTCATTTTCGTTTTTAGTCTTTTTGACCTAGTGTTAAAGCGAGAGTTTAAAAAAATGAGTTCCAGCTCCGATGATATCCATCATATGAGACAAATATTCGGTCCGTTTTCACCCGCAGCGAGGAAGGATGTCTTGTGGACAGCGTCAACTTGAACATCGTAGTAAAGCCAAACGGCTGCAGTACAATAGAATTCAGCCGTCGTTTTTTGCTGAGATGAACCTACGAATCTCTTCGACACGCATCAACATACGAAAGAAAGGTCTATTAAAAAATACTCTTAAAATATCCAGAAATAATAGAAAAGTCAGAAACTTTTTTGCCAAAGTAAGTATAAGATTTATGTATTTAGTTATTAAGATACATTAGAAAGAAATGCCTATATTTGCAGTGGCTAGCACTGACATCTGCAAATATATCTCTATTTGCTCATTGGAAATGAGGCTAGATATGAAATCACTTTAATTTAGGTGATCACGGGCTCCTATTACTGTTCAAAATTAATCTGCTATTCTAGTATCGAGATTATCATTTACTCTAAGCAAATGAAACGAAAGCCTCTTGCTGACATCCATGATGGCGTAATTATTAATTATTTGGTGAGTCGCATTAACAACAAAATACTGATGTTGACTAATGTTCGCTCGACGTTCTTAAGGCAATCATAAAGTGACTCGTTTTGCTGTGCGAAATTGGGACGTCGCCACTACAGAGAACTTTAATTTTTTTACAAATCATGTGTAAGCGTTTGGAACGGGACGACTAAACAAGAGAGTAAATGTAGTCCAACGTAGGGAATCATGATTTCTTATTAAGTAATCTTAAATGGTGGTTGTTAAGGTTTAAAAGAATAATATGAGAGTTAAGTAAGTATAACTAGAAAAGGTTGTCTAAACCCATGACTATCTGGACACTTGATTAGATCATGCATTAGCCAGTTTAAATAACAATTTTATAGACACAAAAATGTACTTATTTTTCGCGGCTCAGATTAGCTCCTTGCTTACAGTGGTGGATCAAGAGGAAAATATGTTGTAAGGACATTATTAACATATTAATAATAGAATCATGACAGACATGGGTTATTTCCTTCTAGTCAGAGTGAAGGGATTGAATCTCTGTTTGATTATATTGGGTCCTAACATACAATCTGAAATATAGCTACTGTATTATAATCGTAAGAAAGTAGGGTTTCGAGACACTAATATAGCTACCAGTAAAAATAAGAGCAGCTATTTATAATTATCACTTGTAAGTATCACATATCAATACCAATTGTGATACATTCCCCAAATATGGCAAAATTCTTTTTAAAAAATAACCAAGTAAGCATATGTAAAGTATAACTAACCCTTCATACAAAGCGCAATTATTCTAGCTTAGTTATTTACCAATTTCAATATGACAACTAAACTTACCTCAAATGATAAATTATCATATATTTAGAAGTTGTTTGACCTTGTTTTCCCAACTTGGTCATATTAGTAAGAAGACTTAGATGAACGCACCTAGTCCGGAGTCCATTGTATGCATGATAATTTCCAAAGTCGGATCGTGGATGTGGTACATACAATGGACTCTGGACTAAATGCGTTCTTCTAAGTCGTCCTATCAATATGACCAAGTTGCGAAAACAAGGTAAAACAACTTATATGCAACGAAAGGAGACTGCGACCACACAAAAGGCCACATAATCTTGGTCTTTGTATCTTCGATTATCATATATTTACTTTTAAAATAATTCGTCTGATAGCCTTCTCTCCACACATGGTCGCCATGAGCCCTTTATGACCAGAGTTAATAAGCCCAAAAGGAAAGAGAATAAGTCACTTAGCAGTAATTGTACCTTAGGAGGAAAATTAAATCAAATATATTATTCAAAAAATAACTAGTTAAATAGCCCGATAATATTTTTGCAATTGACATTTTGTTTGAAGTAGCGAATGCGTTGTGCACATTTTTTTAATTTAAAGGATATTAAGACAAAATACTTACTCGAGATTCTTTCAGAAGGGTATTCACTATTGAACTGCCTTGATGATGTTCGAGCAAGATGGCAAACATCGTGAATAGAACAGAGATGACGGGGTTTGAATAAGATTGTTGCCGTCTCTTTAAGCAGTGAAATCGAAGGCGACGTTGGAGTCATGGAAATCGGACCGTCTAACACTGCCTGAAGATTATTCGGCATGATAGACAAAGGACATGAATTAGCTTGTCCTAATAGCTTAAAATGCGTCATACGGTTACCGGAAAGAGAAAGCATAGTACGCGGGCTGACGGGAAAGGACGAGGTAGAAACAAGATCTGAAAGTCGTGATTCATTTACAGGGATAAAAGCAAAGGGGTCATTGAAGCGAGTCGTAGACACCTGAGTTGGAGAGAGATTAAATTAATTAGACATGTAGGCCTATCTAGGAAGTTTCTTGTCAGATAACGTTTTCTTAAATATAATTAATTAGAATCCGCTTGGAACTAGTCTGCCACGAATATATCAAAGCTTGACCTTTGTTTTCGATATTACCAAGTAAATGGGCCTGAAAAGTGTGAATCATAATTAATTAAAGTGGTGCCAACAAAGAAGTAAGATTATCCTGAAAATTCAGATTAACTTGAAAGTTATCTATAAATAATCTATTTAAATTATAGTTCTTATACGAAGGCATGAAGACCAGGATGGTGTGATCTCTTCTATGGTCGCTATCTCCTTTCGTTGTATATCAGTCGTTTGATCTTGGTCATATTAGCATGAAGACCTAGAGTAAAGGCAACTTGTCCAGAGTCCATTGTATGCATGATCATTTCC